GACATGTACCTGTAGTCTCAGCTACTTGGGTGGATGAGTCAAGAGGATCACTTTAGCACAAGAGTTTGAGGTTGCTGTGAGATACGATGCCATGGCACTCTACCAAAGGTGACAAAGTGAGACTGTCTCAAAAACAAAAAACACAAGAAGACAAAGACCAGCCATGTGAGGCTGTATATAGATAATACACATGGAACTAATATAGTAGATAATATTTTAGATAGTTCTTACAATTTTTATGTCTATTCATGTTCTTGAGGTCATCCAGGAAAACCTGGTTCTTAGAAATGCATTTTGATATATTTAGCGGTTAAGCATATAATGTCTGCAGCCTACCTATAAATGTTGAACAAAAAAATAAACTTGATGAATCTAAGGCCGGGTATAGTGTCTCATTCTAGTAATCCTAGCACTATGGGAGGCCCAGGCGTGTTGGTTGCTTGACCTCAAGAGTTCAAGAATAGCCTGTGCAAGAGGAAGACCTCATTTCTATAAAAAAAAAAAAAAAAAAGCCAGTTGCTATGTCAGGCACCTGTAGTCTCAGCTACCTGGGAAGCAGAGACAAGAGGATCGTTTGAGCCCAAGAGTTTGAGATTGCTGTGAGCTATAATGGCACAGCACTCTACTTAGGGTGACAGAGACTCTGTCTCAAAACAAAACAAAACAAATCCCCCAAACCCAGATGAATCTGGGTGAAGGATATGCAGTGTAAATGATCATTCTTTTTTTCTTTTTTTTGTTGAGACAGAGTTCCACCCTATGCCCCTGAGCAGAGTGCAATGGTGTCACAGCTCACTACAACCTCAGACTCAGGCTGTGGGCATCCAGAAGCTGCTGGGATTATAGGCATTCACAGCAGTACCCGGCTGGGTTTTTCCATTTCTTTAGTAGGAGTCGGGATCTCACTCTCTCTCAGTTAAGTCTCAAACTCCTAACCTCAAGCAATTCTCCCTCCTCAGCCTCCCATAGTACTGGGATTACAGGTGTGAGTCACCATGCCCGGCAATGAGCATACTTTTAATTTTGCTGTACTTCTACCAGTTTTCTAAATAAACACTTAGGGAAAAATAATTACATCAGAGTACCTTAAGCATTTTCCTGAGATTACTGATTAAATGTCTGACTCCAATGTACTTGCATAAACCCATCTATTTGCCAGCATTGATAAAGAGTCAAAGAAAAAGATCCAGTGTCAGCAAAGAGAATGCACTTACCAATGCTACGTAGGGGCAGCCACTGCCCCAGGGCTGAATCCTGTTACTGGGCTAAAGAGATAACTACCCCTTAAAGTTCAGCAAAGTCAAAATGAATCAGAAGAATGTAAGTCTGAAACTGATTCTTCATAAACAAAGGAGGTACTTAAAGCCTGTGAAAATTTGGTGTCCCAGTATTCTTTTCTCTTGGCAGTATTCCTAAGGATTATGTTTTTCTGGAGTTTGCTTCCACAGTTTAGATTTTTTGGCTTACTTCCTTGCTCCAAAATCAATGTCTCCATTGTCTTCTATAATTTAAAACTAAAATTAAAATTTATGAGTATAGGCTTGGTGCCTGTAGCTCACCAGTTAGGGCACCAGCCACATACACTGGAGCTGGTGGGTTCAAATCCAGCCTGCCAAACATTGACAACTACAACCAAAAATATCCAGGCGATGTGGTGGGTGCCTATAGGCCCAGTTACTCGGGAGGCTGAGGTAAGAGAATCACTTAAGCCCAAGATTTTCAGGTTGCTGTGAGCTGTGACACCATAGCACTCTACCAAGAACGACAAAGTGAGATTCTGTCTCAAAAAAAAAAAAAAAATGAGTATAATGTTTCCTTGTTGACAGAGATCCATAATAGTTATGTTCCCTTTGACACTTCTCCCTCATTCTAACTCCTTTCTTCTTGCCCCAAAGGATATCATTGACAGGAGTTTGTTGTGCAACCCCCTATAAAATACATACTAATTTATACTAATTATATCACAAGATAGTGTCACAAAATCTTTTCAGTCCCTGCAGTATACATTTCTAATGGTCTTAACTTGTGAGGGTTAAAGAACCTCTTTGTGAATTTGATAAACTGCCTATCCTTTCTTTAAAAAAATCAGATTATATCAACAAATATGAACTATCAGAAGTTTAATATACAACAAGAGGTCCATCCTGGAATCTACTCTTCTCAGGTTGACAATTCCTGTTTTTCACTTTTAAACAACAGCTTCCTTCTTTTTGCAAGCCTTCATCACAACTATTCAGAAGCCAAAACAAATAAGCCAGCATCACCCAGTTGTGGCTTGAGATTAATGCAAGCCATTCAAATGGAAACCAAAATGTATTATCACCTCTAAAAAAAACCCCTTTAATCCACATCTCCCTTTATACTTTGACACAATTTTTGCTCCACCTTGACCCACTCTAAGTCAGTGCAATTTGACTCTTTATTTCACATAGCTGTGCCTGATCATGCAGTTAACAATCCTGCGGCCATACTAGCTCTTCCATTCACAGTATATTGTATATGATCCTAAAAGCAAAAGCAAAGTCTTATTAATTTTTTTTCCCTCTGAAGGAGTGGTAAAATCACAACTCTATCTCCACTAGAAGTTCTCAAGTTTATTCCAAAACGAAAAGAAGGCCAAAGCATTTTGAAGTAGATAAAGATAAGTTCAGGCTTACCAATAAACCTGACAGCCTTAAGTTCCTTTCTCTCTGTCATGGAAGGTATTCGCATCAGAAAATGGAAACAAGTGTTTTATCTGGAATTCAGGAAATGTGACCAATGCTCTACTCTCCTAAAATTCACTCTTTTTATGTGTGATACTTTATTTTATTAATTGACAGCCTCTCTACTTACCCAGTAATGTACCTGTATAATAGAAAATAATTGATGTCTACTTTGGGGGTACAGTGACAGAGGAAAAAGCAGTTACTCAGGGTTGCTTTCTAGAATAATTCTAAAAGTTCTGTTGATTTTGCATTCTTCTCAGCATATACATTTGATGCAACAGAAAAATCATGTCTAAAACACTTCTCAGATGAATCCATTAACTTTGCAAGATTATTATGTTAATATTGAGAGAAGAAATAACTTGACCCTCATATTTTCACTGTCACACACGACCACACACGCTGCTTTGCAGGACGAACCCTATAAACACTCTGAAACACAAGCAGAAGAAAAGCGCATTTATAACAAATCATCACCAGTTACTCAGCCAGGGACACAAAACCAGATACAATACAAATACCTTTCCCAAAGAAACCACAACAGCAAAGAGTTCTTGGACAATCCCACGCACTTAAGAAATCCCATATCCACGCAGCTTCAAGTACAAATCACCTCACACCTAACAGCACGAATACTCACACACAGGCGGAAATACATCCATACAGCCGGCAACTGAAAGACTCGCAGTCCGCCGGACAGCATAGCTCCTCTCCCCTCCCCCTGCAACACACGCAGAGGGCCCCACGCAAATCCCAGGTTTCAGCTGATTCCCACCCCAGCTCCGGCTCCTCCTCTGCACCTGCCGGCCCAAGGGTCCTATCCCCGCGTTCCTGGGGAGATCCTGGGTGCGCTCCGCTCTCGCTCTCTCAGATGCAAACTTCCCGAACTAGCGCCCGCCGCCTGCGCCCAGAAATCACCGGGGCTCGGCGGTGGGAACAAGCGGGTCTCAGAGGTCAAGTCCACGAACCCGGAAGTGGACTACATTTCCCAGAAGCACCTTTAATAGAGTACGGCTCAATTTCCGTTTCTTTACGCCATTTGGAGGACTGGAGTCGGAAGAGGCCGCTTGGGTAGGAGACCTTGGCTCTACCTGTGCTGGGCGGCGGAGCTTGAAATTGGGTTTGGAAATCGCACTCCAGGTCTTGGACCCTGATCTACACCTCTGTTGAGGTGAGTGTCCGGAGTGCCAGGGCGGAAATGTACGGAGGAAACGTCTCAGGAATTCTGTGTGCGGCTGTATCTCCCGCTTTGTGTGTGTAGTGCAGCCGTCTTGGTATTGCCGACTCTATAGACGACTGGACGTGTGCGTCTGTGGTTTTGTGTATGAGCGAGTTGTAACTGTATGCTTACCTGATTGGGCATTACTTGTATGACTGTGTGATTGTTTATGTACCGCTTGTGACTTGAAGTGTTTGTTGTGACGGGGTGTTTGGATGTGCTTGGGTCACTTTGAGGTTGCATATTTGTCTGGTAAAATGTGACTGGTGTTTGCCTGTGAATTTGAGATCCAGGATACTGTTGTGACACCGTGTTTGTGACCTTTTGTTTCCCTGACCTGGTACTTGGTTGTGTGACTATTCTTGTGTGTGCCACGTGTGTGACTGTACGGTTGTGTGCACCGTTTTCATGACTGTAAAGAGGATAGAAGTGCTGCTGTGGAAAGGAGTTTTTTTGATATGATCGCATGCCTTGTGGTTGGATTTTAAGACTAACCATGTACCATAACTTGCAGATTGTGACTCCGGCTGTGGGACTGTGGAAATGTGATTGTGTGTGACATTGTGTGCTCATTTGTACGTTTTATACGCTGTGACCTGATGGGAGTTAGTGGGGCATGGAAGTAAAATTTGATTTTGATATTTCTTGGGTTCATTCTGGGGCTGAGTCTGCCAGT